CGGCCGGAAGCAGGGACAAGTGCCGCGCTCGCGCCGCTGCGCTCAGCTGGACGAGGCGGGGCCGCGCTTGGTATCGCTCGCCCCACTGCCGCACTATCAGCAGACCGAGTTTCGTGTCAAAGGTTGGTACGTCGGTTTGGTGCAGTGTGCAGGCGAGCCAGTGACGCCCGCGCCGCTCGTTGCCTAGCCCGTGCCCGCGCACTCCTGTCTGCAGCCGACTTCATAGAGGCACGTCATTTAGTGCGGTGGTGCATCGTGGCCTGTAACTAGGCAGTCAATTGGACTCACGGTATTGTACCGGGTGGCCGGCTCTCCGGCTGCTCTATCCTAGTTACTGATCTGTTGAACAGCTCACACGACCAGTCGGGTTAATGGGGTTTATAGTTTGTTTTCATCGTAGATGCCCATAGCGCCGCACGGCCCGAGCGAGTGTTGGCGGGATTTCATTCGCCAACGCATCTGTGCAGTGTGGCTGTTCAGCACGCTGACATGAGGGCCACCATCGCTTGTTGGTCGGGGCTATAGGTGCTTTTTCTAAATTCTATTTTAAATTAATCCTTGTTTGTTTTCGCTTCCTATTCTTTTCCTCACTACATTTTAAAAAAAACATAAATCTCATACCGCAAGACGCAAAGGAACTCTTAAGAGTTTGGCGAGGGGGTCCGGTATTCGTCATGTAAAAGAAATGGAGAAATTCTCAAATAACTCACAAGAATATCCATCTCCACCGATACGAGTAGGGGGTATGCAACCCCCGCCCGCCCACACGCGTGTACCCCCGGCATCCAGTTTTAATTTTGGAAGCAGGTGGAGGCGTATTCCTATGCTACGACGCCAAGTTTCATACTCCTAAAACTATGGTACCAAAACTGTAAAAAATTGCATTTTATGTTCTTATTTTGTATCTGTAACTGGAACGAGTACAAATCATAGCGATCCTGTGCTAGCGCTTTCTTTTAAATAAAACATTTTTTTGCATATGAATTTATGCTGCATTGTTAGTTTTTATCAGATGGCTGTCATATTTTTTCATTCTGACCTAGCCTCGTCACAAAATAATTACTTTGTTTTAAATCCCAAAACTGTGTAGTGTTACCACTATTTAGATTTTTTTTCCTGGCCATTTTCCTGGCAATCCCTTGTTTCGCAGTGTTCTTTCCCACCGCCTGGAGGTCAATTTTAGTGTAGTCCTGTCTGTTTTTGCTATTTGACGAATGTTCGTAATCACAAAGGTTCTCAGCAAAAAGTCGCCCGGGTTATTAGACTAGACGAGATTAGGTGACAAACCTGAAAGTGGAGTGCGAATCGAGTATGTACTGTACCTACTGATGACAGAAGAGACGACCGCGGGCGCACATAGCGAGAAGAGAGGTTCGGCGATGGG